CATGCCAGACCATCTTGATTGAATGTAACTTTGTTCCACAGAAGTTTTATGGTAGACATATTCATATTGGTATCTAATAAATGATTAATTCTTAGATTTTATCGAACGTTAATTTATAAATTGTTTCTGTCTTTATGCGTTTGTTTCAGATTATGCAAGATGAAATTATTCAGTCAGCAAGACACTTGCTGCAGTTGCTGACATCATCCAACCGAACTGCTGCTGTGATGAATCATAATACAAGGTTTACTTTAGCAAGACTTATGAGTTAATGCGACATTTAACTAAATTGTTATATATTTTTTGTGTCCAATATTGTCTCCATATGATTTTGTTTTTTGCAACATCTTGCAGAGAACAGAGTCAAGGTGGCCAGGGTACCAGCTTGGTCAACCCTGACCTGTCCAACGTGTCCAGTATGTACAGTGCTCACAATCACCAACTCGGGATCAGACTCACCACACAGGAAGTACCTGTGCACAAACAAACAGGGTCAAGTAGCACACACAGACGCAACAGAAATGATGCCATGCTTTTGCTAACTGCTTCAGTTCAACAATCCACTGAAGATTGAGCCTCAGCCACTGCCTTAACTAATGTCTTTGTCAACCAGGTGATCAGGAACAGGTGGCACTTCAAGACAGGTGTGCACAGTCAAGGACGGGAACACGTGATGAATCCCGCCCAGAAACAACAACCTTTGCGATCACCTGCGTCTGTGTTTCAAAATACAATTTTCAAATAATCGAAACTGTGTAACAAAACACAAAACACTTTACTTTACATCAATACTTTGGTCAGTACTCCCATGCAGCTTTCAGATAATCTTGAATCATGATTAAATTATGTCATCTCAACTTTTTATTTGACACACTGATCATCTTTTCACCAGCTATTAATGCTGGACTCTGCTGTGAAATGAAGGGCGTTTGACCTTTAGCGATTTTGCAGTGCTTTGTTTGAAACAGTAATGTCTGTGATGACAGTGGTGTCAAGCACACCCACATCTTCTCTTACTGCCTGTGAACTTCTGACTCATGGTGTAATAACTGTTTGAGCTGCAATGACTTCACTATGATTTCCTTCACTTCAGAGACTCAGTTTTTGCCTGAATCGCTTTCAGTGGTGTGGGTATTTAGTGTGAGGAAGAAGTGGCCTGTAACATCATTAGTATACATCCAGACACATTAACTCCACGTTGTTAATTAGACTATCAACAGGCATTAGCCTCTGCTAGTGTTCCAGCCTACAAAGACCAAACAATGGGCATTAATGGACTGACACTCTGATAACATTCCGGTGATCTCTTGATCTGACAGGTTTCCGCAATCACTGATGATGGAGGAGGAAGAGCAGGATGCTGATGACCAGCAGCTGCAGAGTTTGCCAACCTGAACGTTCACGCAGGTAGTACGGTCCTTCTGCTAAATGGGTTTTCCAAAAGGGCATTAAGTGCTCTGTGAACCATTCAACACTGCCAACATGGTCATTGGAAATACTACAAAAATTCTTAAAACACGTGTATTTCAAATGTACTCTCAAAAGGTATAGGATGGGCATCTGCCATTGTGTCTAAATATCCTTATTGTTAAAGGAAAGAATGTGTTGAGGTCAGAAGCCAAATTAAAAAAAACTGAGATGCTGTGTAAAAAAAAACACACAAAAGGAAAAAAAAATAGAAACATTTTCAGAACAATGTTCCTCAAGATATAATTTGAATATTTCATCATTTACCGTAAATATCTGTAACAGAAGTCACAGTCAATGAATAATTATGTATGAGTATATGAGTATATGTTTAATCATGTATAATTTCATCATACATAGACCAAAGGCAGCTGTAGATTAACATGGGCAAGTGCTTAGCTTTACCTACCTGAGCACTTAACTGTGGACTCCACACTGGCCTTTGTTGTTTTAACATGGGCTGATTAGGGATTTGTTCCATTAGTCTCCATTTCTGTCAAACATAATTTTTGATGGTTATCGTCTGGAATAGCCAGATGATGTTGGTTGGCAAAATAATATATCTCTTTGCATCAAATTTCTGGGGTGTAAATTAATTAAAAACAAACATGTGACTATTGATTTTTCTGCACTGATGTCCTCTCCGTCCTCCATGTTGTCAGCTTCTCCCATGAGGTGGTTGACGGGCATTATCATACTACTTCACATGCACATGTCTAGGTTGTAAAACAGGTGCAGTTGCAGTTGGGTCAGTTTGTTGATCGGATGCTTTTTGTGTACATCTTCTTCTTGATTTTCTTTCCAGTAGTTACTCATACACTGGACAGTAGTAGTGTAGCGCTGTAGTTTTAGCTGATCACATTCTCCAACACTAGAGGAAGGGTTCTTGGCACCCAGTGCCCTGTTATTGCTCTTTCCTAGCCCTCCTATTGTCCTCAAATATTACTAACACATTTTACACCCCAAGGGATGTTTGCCTCCAGAAAATGGCTTACATACAATTGTTGACCAAATGTTTGTGACAGGGGCTTTGCTTATTTATTGAATACATAAATTGGAACTCTAGTGCCACCATCAGGCCAAACTATTAATTTGGAATAAATGTATCTTGAAAAGTCTGGATTCAAATCTTTTCAAAATTACTGACAACATTAATGATGACAGGTGGATGAACCCTATTAATTTTTGGTGATGACACTATGGAGGCATGTGACACACGACACAGGAGCTTTTTGCTGTGTCCAAATTCAGGGGAAGGATGCTCATAAGGACACGCAGCCCCTTTTTTTTCTCCATAGAAACTTTATTGAACAAACAATGAGTATCCAACATAACCAATGGGCTGTGGACAGCCTCCTAGCCTTCAACTCTGCCCTTACTTGCGTGTTTTTCTGGTCGCTATCGCCACAGCGCGAAAACGTTAAAATGGACCCAGAAATGTCGCTCCGTTGTTTGGACAATTTTAATTCTCGAGGAGCTAGAAAAACCTTATCGTCGTCGCCTGCACGTTTGTACCTTAGGATCATCAGAGACAATCATATCCAGGTAAAATAATTTCCCTTAATCTACACGCATTTAGGAATTACTTAGCTAATTACACGGATAATTGAATTATTGCCAGCGTTGTGCCAAAAAAGTGTTCGCCTGCCAAAACTGATTTCCAATGTTTCCGTGTGAAATATGTGTAATATCTTTATGTATGTTGGTAAATAGACTTCGGTGAACATGGTTTAGAAAGGGGGTTTTATATATGCAATAATTATCTGTTGTTCAAGTATCTTCATAACTCTGGTTATAATGTAGGTATAATTGATATATTTGTTGCGCTGTCTGCTGTCCTCTTGACCAGATTAGTTTTAAAAAATAAATTTGTGATGTCAACAAGATGTTTTTGAACTGGATAAATAAAGGTATATAAAACTCACTGCCAAAAACTGATTGCAGCTTCTACCTTGTTACAGGAATGTTGTTTGTGGCTCAAGGTGACTTGATATCATTAATGAGGGATACATTTGACATATGTTTCACGTATTATAGACCAACAAGTTATTTATAGCAGGTTAAATATGAGCAATCAGTTTAGGGCAAAAACCAGAAATCAGTTTTTGGCAGACGATCATTTTTGGCACAACACCAGTCATTCTCACACATATACTGTATCATATAAAATATATAAACTAAATGTCTTTGAAACATATAGAATCTAATCTTTTGTTTGTTTGTTTTTTTACATAGCACTTTATCAAACTCTTGTCTGCTACAGAGTTACAAGTAGCATCCACCATCTCCTGCTTGCATATTTCTGAAAACATCTTAGTGGTGTGGCAGCCACGAGTGAGCCAGCCCTGCAAACCCTGTGGATGGACGATGCAGTGAGCAGTGGGAGGAAGCACCCAAAAGCTCTCTTTGCAGACCACCCTGTGTGATTCTCCACTCGCTGACCAGAAAAGACCAACCACAGGTCTCAGTTGCAGCACCCCATCCATGTCTGATCTTGCTTCGGCAGATTCAGCAACACTGCCAGAGACTTCATGTAATCTATTACAGTTGTTCAAGAAACGGTCCAGGAACAGGTCACTCAGGTTAATCCTGTGTGAACAACTGTAAATATTGTTTTTTCATCTTTACATACTGTGTATTTGAAATATTCTTGTTTAATTGTTATTATTATTTACTTTATTGCTATTAAATAAATATCCATGTAATATTGTTCAAAGTTAGCGTTATGTTCATACATGTTAAAAATGTCGTTAAATCAAATTGAGTTCAGTGACAATTACTGTTTGTTTGAATCAATTTATTAATAACATAAAACCTTTAAACTAATGCAACACATATAACAATGTAAC